TTTTGGAGGATTTTGGGGATATTTTTGGGTTATTTTTGGGGAAATTTTGTGTTTATTTTGGGAATATTTTTGGGGTATTTTGGGGTGATTTTTGGGATATTTTTGGAGGTGTTTTGGGGATATTTTTGGGTTATTTTTTGGATATTTTTTGGATGATTTTTGGGATATTTTTGGGGCTATTTTAGGGATATTTTTGTGGCCATTTTTGAGTTAATTTTTGGATTTTTTTGGATGATTTTGGGGATATTTTGAGGATATTTTGAGCCCTTTACTGTGTACTTGTCCCAGCATTTCTCAGGGTCGAAGGGACATATCCGGGATATTTTTGGGTTATTTTTTGGATGGTTTTTGGATGATTTTGGGGATATTTTGAGGATATTTTTGGGGATATTTTGGGGACATTTTGGGAAGATTTTGGGCTCCTCACCGTGTACTTGTCCCAGCGTTTCTCGGGGTCGAAGGGACATTTCAGGATTATTTTTGGGGATATTTTTGGGTTATGTTTTGGATGTTTTTTGGATATTTTGGGGATATTTTGGGACTGTTTTTGGGATGATTTTGGGGATATTTCGGGCCCCTGACCGTGTACTTGTCCCAGCGTTTCTCGGGGTCGAAGGGCTCCCAGCGGCTGGCGGGGAAGATGTGTTTGTTCTTCTCGTACCACGAGCGCAGGACGACCTTCCCGGCGTGCGACTGTGACGTCATCGATGGCCGTGACATCATCGATGGCCGTGACGTCATCGATGGCCGTGACGTCATCGGTCACGGTGACATCATCGGTCAGGTGTGACATAATTGATTGGGGTGACAGCGTTGGTCAGAGGTGACGTCATCGGTCGGCCATGACATCATCGATTGGCATGATGTCATTGATTGGGGTGACGTCATCGGTCAGGGGTGACATCATCGGTCAGGAGTGATGTCATTGATTGTGGTGATGTCATTGGTCAGGGTGACATCGTTGATTGGAGTGATTTCATCGGTCAGAGGTGATGTCATTGGTCAGGAGTGATGTCATTGATCGGGGTGATGTCATTGGTCAGGGGTGACGTCATCCGTCAGAGGTTCTGTCATTGGTCAGGGTGACGTCATTGATTGGGGATTGACGTCATCGGTCAGGGGTGACGTCATCAGTCAGGAGTGATGTAATTGATCGTGGTGATGTCATTGGTCAGGGATGACGTCAGCGGTCAGGGGTGATGTCATTGGTCAGGAGTGATGTCATTGATCGGGGTGATGTCATTGGTCAAGGGTGATGTCATTGGTCAGGGGTGACGTCATCGGTCAAGACCGATGTAATTGGTCAGGGTGATGTCATTGATTGGGGATTGACGTCATCGGTCAGGAGTTGCGGCATTGGTCAGTAGTGATGTCATCAGCGGCCGTGACGTCATCGACCGGTTGTGACGTCATCGGTCAGCCCTGATGCCATTGGTCAGGGGTGACGTCATCAATTAGGAGTGATGTCATTGGTCGCTGCTGGTTTTTACTGGTTTGTACTGGTCCGTACTGGTTTTTACTGGTCCGTACTGGTTTGTACTGGTCCGTACTGGTTTTTACTGGTCCGTACTGGTTTTTACTGGTCCGTACTGGTTTGTACTGGTCCATACTGGTTTGTACTGGTCCGTACTGGTCTGTACTGGTCGTTACTGGTTTTCGGGGCTCTCACCTCGTCCTTCTCCACGGTGGCGTCGCTGAGCAGCCGAACGTCCTCGTGCACGTCGAAGTTGAACAGGGGCCCTGGGGGAGGGGAGGGGCTGGGTGACGTCACCGTGACGTCACAGCCCCCGCACGATGACGTCACAGCACCCCCACGATGACGTCACAACCCCCCACAATGACGTCACCACACCCACGATGACATCACAGCCCCCACGATGATGTCACCACACCCCAGGATGACATCACAGCCCCCACAAGGACGTCACAACCCCCCCCCCCGTGACGTCAGAGCCCCAGTGATGACGTCACAGTCCTGCTGATGACGTCACCCCCAGTCGATGATGTCACTGCTGTATTGATTATGTCACACCCCCATTGATGACATCACACCCCCGTGATGACGTCACACCCCCGTTGATGATGTCACACCCCCGTTGATGACGTCACACCCTAGTCGATGATGTCACACCCCCCTCGATGACGTCACAGCCCCGTCGATGACGTCACTCACCGCTCTTGCCGCGGGCCTTGGTGACGATGAAGTCGTAGAAGCTGTGGTGCTGCGGGGGAGGGGCGCAGGTGGGGGAGGGGCACAAAATAGGGGGAGGGGCC